TATCACCTCGTGAGCGGGGCACGCCAGACCGGTGTTACTGCGAACATACTAATACAAATACAAATACAAAGAGTAGGCGGTCCGCGGGAGATCGCGATTATCCGCGGATGATCGCGATGTCCGCGGATAATCGCGATCTCCGCGGGAGGTCGCGATGTCCGCGGCTAATCGCGATGTCCGCGGACAAGACTCATCTCCTAGAGGCCTGAAAATAAATATCCAGACCAACTAGACCACGGGCTACAAGATGGCCTACGAATCAGGGCGCCACAGTGCGCTGGTCGCTGCACCACGAAGAGCATACAGCGAGGTTTATTCAAGTCCTCCCTCTTTTTTTTTGAAAGTGGACTTTTTTTGCGCGAGCACGGCGCACAAGACTACTACAAGCAGGTGGGGCGCAAGGAGACTAACGCTGCCATGTGATGTTCACGTTGAGCAGACAATAGCCAAGCGAGTTCTCCAGCTTCTATCGGGCAATTTTCTTCGTGGCCTTGCCAAAACGGCTTTGAAATGCCCTAAAAACGAGTTGCTGCCGAAAAAAATTCAAAACAGGGAGGACTTGAATGAACCTAGCTGTATAATCACTTCTGAAAACAAAGCGGATCAGTTCTCTCGCTTGACTTGATAGCAAGCTGCCTCTTATCAATTGTCCAGACCAATTAGACCACGGGCTACAAGATGGCGAACGACCCAAGGCCCACAGTACAGTGTTAACCTACACCAATAAAAAAATATTTGTCTACACCAATTCGACCACGGGCTACAAGGTGTCAATCCGCTACAGTGCCGCAAGGCACGCTTGCGAGAAATCTTGTGCCCTTGATCGCGGGTAGTCGCGACCTCCGCGGACGGGGAATCTTCTCCTCCGAAAACACTGAGCACGCGTAGAACGCGTAGCACACGTTAAGTGTTGACCACGCGTGAATCGCGCGTAAGCCGCGCGTAAGCTAAGCGTAGACAGTGTTACAGGTGGGAGGAACGATGCGTGACCGTGTCGTCTACGCCCAGTGGAACGGGTCCCCCGAGATCCAACTCGAACTGCGACAGCGCGTAAGCTACGCACGGTCTACAAGATGGAGCATGACTCAGCTGCCTCCCCCCATCATTGTCTAATTTCGATTCAACGCGCATTGGTCTGGATTATTATTTGCAGGCCTCTAGCTGTCAAGGCAAGCGAGAAAACTGATCCGCTATGAGTTGTGGAGTGATTCTAGGCGTTAAGTCAGCAGCCCACTATGGTGCCCCAAGTCAAGCGCAAACTTGTAGCCCATGGTCTAATTAGTCGGGTTATTGATTATCAGGCCTCTAGCTATCAAGGCAAGCGAGAAAACTAATCCTCTTTGTTTTTGGGAGGATGATTTTGGGCAATTAGTTGTCGGAAGAGCGCGATGTAGAGCCTGTTGGAACAAGGACCATCCGACCAAAAGTGCCTAGACAACTTTTGGTGGGGTAGGTTGGGTTGCCAGTGACCCTCAACACACCCCTTCAGTGGCAATCCAGCCGACCATACTGAGGGGATGCAACGAGAACGCGTAGAATTCATGATATGCATTTAATGCATAGTATGAGGTTGCCATGCTCCCAATGCATAAAATGCATGTGAAACACATGACACACATGTTATGTGTGTGAGATGCATGTTATGCATGTGAGATGCATGTTGTGCATGCAAAATGCAGAAAATGCATGTGAAACACATGATACACATGACACACATGTTAAGCATGTGAGATGCATGGTAAGCATGTGAGATGCATGTTGTGCATGCATAATGACATAAAATGACATGTAGAAACACATGATACANATGTT